ACCGCATCCCACCCATAGAAACAAACTGCCGGAAATGGACATATTACTTAAGAACAACAATATGTAACTTAGGATTGAAACACAGTATATTTGTAAGGGTATTCAAACTTCAACACCTTGCAGAAAATCAGCTCATATTTGATTTGCTTTCCATTGTTGTTTTACTTTAATAAAAGCTAAAATTCAGTTTTTTTCACACTTTTTTCATTGGATTGCTCGAGTTGCTCCTTTCGGGTCTGTTTTTTTATAGGCCATTGCCGAGAAAAATTTGCCAGTGGAAATTGTCAGGCAAATATTATTGTATGTGAATTCATATGAAATACGTTTGGGACGCTTGTGCTATGGTAACTACAAGTGGGTCTCCATTTCTAGTGAAGAGCAGTATTAATTTAGATATATTTTATTTACACAATTTGACAAGCTTTCCGTTTTTATGTTGAAATATGTGTTTTCTACTCTTGAAGAGAGTATTTAATGTTTTCATGAAATGGGTAGCGCATAGAAGACGACATTTCCGACCCTATAAAATATTCGTATTCTATACAATAGTTTTTTGATTTCATTAACGCACAGGTGTCCCACACCTCTTGCTCGTATATTCTTAAACATCGCTCAGATACGCCTATATCCTTAGAAACTTTTATATACTTAAAGATGGCAAAGATACTTTTTTTATAAACACATATCTTATGAATGGCCATAGAGATCTCCTGCTGCATAATTTGATACATTTTTATTTAGCTAGTTGCTCTTCTCTTTTGCTTTACGTGCCATATATATAGTCAGATCGTTAATTTTATGGAAATTCAAAATCCAATTCAAATGAATAAAATTTCATAAGCCTATCAGTTTATGTTCTCCTGCACGTTTCGCATTTCTTTTGTATTACATTTTTTAACATAACAATTTTCTTTAACACATATCCCATTAAGTCTAATTTTTAAGCTCTGCTTGTCTTACATTTTCCTTTAATATCTCAGCCTGGGGATTTTCCTGCTGCGGTTGGCTTAAACTGTTTCTGACACTGAGCGTATGTGTGCGGGCCCGTGTGTTTGTGTGTCTTCTGGTTTGGTTATTGAACACATTTTGAAATCAATTTCCTTAGAATTGCTTTCATTTCGTGTCTTATCAATGTAAATATATTGTTTTGTTTTGTATTGTATTAAAAACACCATCATTTCGCATTATTTCCTCTCACTTGTGTATGCTTGTAATATTTTTAAAACTACTAAAACTCCTAGGAGCTATATATTTTGCAATATTTAGCTCGTAGCGAATAAATCAAAAGATTCAGAACACAGCTTAATGGCCCAGAACAAAATGTTTTGTTATATCTTGAAAATGAAACATTATTTCTGTTACATGATTCGCGTAAGGCAGATACTTTATCATATACATGTATAAAAATAGTATTCTTGATACTACTTGCTTAAATTGATATTAAATATATGTAAGTATATTTTTAACATATTTGATAGATGTTTGTTGCAGTTTTCCCATATAGAGAACGAAATTATCTACAATATCAAGCGGAACATGACCTTAAAAGTAAATACAAGTTTTAACCTTTTAATAGTATCAAACTAAAGGCTATCATATAAAAGTTATTTAAGACATTCCAGAAAATATCGCAAGATAAATGCAAATATTTATGTTTGCGCTAAATACTCATGCCCAAATGAGCCAACAGAAAGAAGGCATTCTTGGCACGATAACAACAAATTGCCGACAGCATTTTTGTAACAAACACAATAAGGACGCCGAACAATACGAACAACTACAACAATATGTTAGGCAGACAAGCAATTGCTCTTAATGTCGATGATTAAACTGAACGCTTAAACTGAGCCACTTAAACGCAGCTTGTGCGCCGCTTTGTTGCCTACTCTTAGGCCATTTAACCGACAAGCAGCTGAGACAAGCAAGCCAAGTTGGCCCTCGTTTGCTCAAGCGTTGAAAAGAGTTTACACAAAACACAGAAATTGTTAAATGGAGCATGTGAGTAACGTGCGTCGCCTAGAATTGGCAAATTAATGCTCAAGTACTTTTTTTCTTCCTCTTTTCTATTCCTCATTTTTTACATCCAGAACCTACGAAAACTGGGTAAAAGGAGTATATTGGTTGGTGTCACTTTATGTAACAGAAAGCGGCGTATGCGAGCCCAATTAGTATGTACATCTTTAAATATATAGATTCTTGGTTAGCATAAATGTTTCGCCCGTCTAACCGTATTTATGAATGCGTCGATCTCAGAAACTATACTTGTAGGATACATTTTTAGCTATGCGGCGAGAGTAAGAAGCGATTGATTATTATTGAATATTATTTAATATGTAAGTAAAATAGCTTTATCCAATAAATAGCTACAAATAGGTAGTTTTTGGCTATGATTTTGGATGGTTTTAGGTATCTTCTAGTCGGGCGCTCCGGACGAGAGCACTCGTGCTGGTTACTCTTCCGCGTCTATGCCGAGAAAGTTCCACCCAAGAAAACTTCTGCTGCGGATGCCGTACAGTATTTTATTTAGTATTTTAACTTTTTTATTAAATTTGCCCACCAAGTTGGCCAAGTTCGTTGCCGCTTTTGTTTGCTACATAATGCTGCTTTGTTTATTAAATAAATATTTGACACAACTTTTGAGTATGCCGTCTTGATTGCCTGCGCAAAAGGTAGAGGTCACTGCATAAGAAGTACTGAGCATATATTTTTAAAAATTTTATAATTTAATGACGGACATAAAAACACAGTCATTATAAAATTTGTTAATTTAATGGCGGCAGACATTCGTTTGTAGGTTTCTTTTATTATGGTTAGCCCAACCACTGTAAAAGTCATCCTTGTTGGGCATGTTTAAAGCGCGATGCTGTCGGACAAATATTTTCCAAACAATAGATATTAAAATCATATAATACTTATACCTCGATTCACTATGACTCCTTTATTTTATTGTAATTATTAAATTCTCGAATCACTAATAAATAATACAAATCTCTTTGGAACCCATTCATTTATAGACCAATTGTGATTGGGAAGACTGGGTATCATATTTTTGGCCCAGCCAAACAGTTTGCCCACCATACCCCAAATTATCCTCTAAATGGAATTCCATTGTTTGGGCAAACAAAGAGTGAACTGATTTGAATGGGTTGCCTCTCAAATTTCATAACGATATTTAAGCAACAATGCAAATAGGCAGGTGCCAGGCTAGAGTTAAAGCAGTCGCAGCTGCGGTGCCTCAACTAAGTAATTAAAGCACAGGCGCTAGTCGGGGCCTACATATAGGCTATATATGCTACATATATACATATCTGCTTACAGTTGTTAGGTGTGAATGTGTGTGCGGACGATTCAAGCAAGACAAACCCCATTAAATAAAGCTGGCGCTCAACCACATCAAATTGCTATTGCGGCTGATGCGGTCGCCGTGCTGGCTGCTGGGTTGGCACTGAGCTGTGTCTTCGAGTGGCTTAAATGACCGACACTCAGTTTCGAGAACGGTTCACATTACGCATACGCCACCGGACGCGTTACGCAAAGTTTTCCGGATTTGTTTCACTAGCAATATTTTTTATGGGGGGCCAGGCGCCCGGCACGTGCCAACATGAATCGAGCGCCCAGAACAAATATGCAGCGAAATGCAATGCGAAACTTCGCAGAGAGGAATCAACAGTTTTGCGCCCAACTCCACAGTCAAGTGCTTTGCTCTGTGTGCTGAGCTGTGGACACCACATAAATATATTTGGGGCACGTAAAATGGACGCACATGATGCGATAAGTTTTCGAATTCATCTCTACATTCAATTCAGTTCCAACCACAATAAAAGTAACCCTCGAGTAAATACGAGTTATGAACAATTTTTGTAATGCAATGCCAGCAAATCCTTTACTTGCTTTCTAGATGAGCTCTATTCTGTGTGTGTATTTTTTAGGTATATATTCAGCAGAGAGTCGGTAAACAGTGTGTGGCTATTAAATTCAGTTGTGCGGCAGCTAATACGCTCGTTTATATCTGAAAAGAAAAATTTAAGAACACTGCCTATGAGATTCCGAACACGTTCATAAAATACACATAAACGTGAGAGAGGTATATATTCTCGTTGACACGCAAAAGTTTTTCAATATGAAGCACAACCAATGCACGTCCTAATAAATTACATCGAAAAGACACACAACGAAGCTGTCGGAATGATAAAGTTGCCATAAACGTATTTCAATAGGCCAGAATAAAGATTCGCAATATACAAAATTAAATGTAACTAAATGTTATAAGGAAAATGCAAAATGAGCTATGTTGCATGGAAGTAAGCAAAAAGGGAGTTAGAGCTGCTGAATATATATTTATATCATAACATTTAACAAAAAAATGTTAATAAGTATATCAAAAAAATAAATAAATATAAATTATGACTTACAACTGCTTAACTGTGATATCGAAACCAATTTGGTGTTTAGGTTAAATGCGTATCATGCAAATGAATTTACAATCCATTCCCAATGCAGTTCTAAGAGCCTTACAAGAGTAGCATCTTACAACATTCCGCGAACTGCCACACTAATAACCAATGATTATAATTCTCATTCTGTATATAATTCATTCATAAAATACGCAAGCAGCAAGGGCCCGGCGAGGCACGTACAATGTTGACAGCACAGTTCCGCGCACGTGGCGTCCCCGGCGCCAATGCCAGCCACTAACGACCCCCCAACGGCGCTGAAAGACCACCAGAGCGACGGCTTCCACAGGCGTCAGGCAGTGAAAAAGCCAGCAGCTGCAGCGCAGCGGTAAGCGCCAAGAAAATTTCCCAAACAAAGCCAGGAAAAATTTCCCACTGTTTGTTGGCCCAAAGAGAGCGTGTTGTGAGAGAGTCGCACGTAAACGACGAGCGACGATGTTGTTGTTGACGCCGGCGTCGACGGCGACTGCGAACGCAGCTGCGGCTGCCTTTCACTGGCTTTTCAGACTCAATGGACCAGTTTGGAAAATTCGCACAGTCAGTTTGTTTTAAAATTTTGCCGCGTTGCGTTCTAAGCGCTCGAATTCTCGATAAGCGAAGAGTAAAACTCATTATTCATAATATTTGCGCGGGAAATTTGAAATTTGCTTTGTAAAATATTTAAGTGTCATTTGTAACAAAAACGAAAATTAAAAAAAACAAGTTTTAAATTTTGCCATAAGATAACCCAAAAGTTTTTCAACACCTGCACATGCTACAAATAATATTGACGCCCCCTTAATATACAAACACTTGCTGCTGAATAATTTAGTCAATTTTTAACGCCTCGCTTTGAAAAAAAATTATAAAACAAAAAAAAAAGTTAAGTGTCATAATAGAAACTCGTGCGCGTTGTTAACAAAAGCCTCAGTCGCTGTTTAAAGTGAAAAATACAAATTATTAAAGAAAAACAAATGGAGACGATGATGAAAAAGAGTAGCGAAAACAAATAATGACCGGCAGTGTTTAAGCCAGTTGAGTCATACCGACATTAAAATATATGAGTGCAAATATACATAAATATCAGTGCAATTTCTGTATGTATTTGTTTGCATCAGTAAACGTATGTATTCGTAGTCAAAATGACAGGCTGGGCCGATATTCGAAATTAGGTTCTCATGCACAATAGCCCTAAGGTCTTCAGAGGCTTATATGATGTTTCCTTTGAATTCGATTTCATAATATTCAACTGCAATAGAAACAAACGAGCGAATATCAAGCTGATAAATTAATATCTGAAACTGAGAATGATATGCAGATTGCATTTTTCAACTTGCCACTTCAAGAGCTTCTCGGTACACTGGGTTCAGTTCATAAAAATATGAGGCCCGCTTGGCACCAAATAATTAACAAGCGGAGTGTGCTTAGCTTAACTTCAGTGAACAACACATGCTCAGGTTTTTAATCAAGCCAAAACTACACAATAGCTAAATAAAAACAACATGAGTGCTCTAGTTGGGAGTATTACACGAGAGATACCCTAAACATAGCGTCGTGCTGCTATTCCACCCTATGGAACACCCTTTCCTGAACAAATTCAGTGTCGGATCCTCATGAAATATTTAAGAGCTGAAATAAGACAGACAAAATGTTCACACGGACGGACAGATAGACATTCGGACATAGCTAGATTGACTCAGCGCACTAGATCAAGAATATATACTTCTTGCTGTGGCTATTAAATATACTTTCACATACCTATAATACACTTTTTTAGCCATTTGCAAAGAATACAGGGTATTAAAATACAAAAACTGGCAACACTTGCCAATGGATATTAATTAAAAACTAACTGTGCGTGTGTGTTCACATGTGTGTACGCGAGTATGTTTACATAAATAAAAAGCAAATGGTGAATAAAAAAAACGAGTCATGGCGATGTAAATAAGGTGTTCCGGAAGGAAGCCGGCGGAAATCAAAGCAACGCCTGCCTAAAGTAAACTTCTTGGTGTCCTTCACGCAGCTGGCACCGCATCGCTCCGCTCACTCCGCTTCCGCTGCTCACCCCGACCGCTGCTGATTACGTAATTACATGAATGTTAATTCTTTGTGCTGGCTTTGTTTTGGTAGTGGCAGCGGCAAGGGAGCAATGCATGCATATATCAGCAGAGTCACGAGCAATTAAGGAAAGGCAAACAGAGCTAGCACAAAATGATGAAAGAAGTTCCGTCTTAAATGCGGCAGGAAATGACACGAAAGCCTGCCAGACAACGCAGTAAATATTTGTGAAGCAGGTGCGTGTTAAGGAAATATGTTATTACTAGGCATATCTAATTAATAGTGCTAATTGCAATTGCCATCTAACTTTAAGTATTTTCGAGGATATCCAAACGAGTGGGCTGCGCAAAATAAATTCTAAAATAAGTCAACTGTCCGCCCAAACGCAACTCACTCTGGCAGACGCACATGTCAGACAGAGATTTATTACCGAAAAGCCGAGACCGAAACCCAAAGGCTACCTTTTTAATGTGCTCGCACCTTTTCATTGGACTTGAGGTTTTTGGGTTTTCCCTTGGTCGTATATATTCTTTAAAGCTCTGTCAGGAAATTAAACTATTAAGCTTTCTTGATGTGAATAAACTTTTAATGGCACCTGAAAGGTGTTGGGGAAATTATGTTGTACTATCTGTGCCAGCTCTGCCTTTACTGGTCTGTCTGTCATTTAGGAAAAACAAAACCATTTGCTTCCCCTCCGGACTCGGGCATAGACCAAGTCCTGAGATAAGCGAAGTCAGTAAAAGTTTAGTGGCAAATCAACATAAAATGCCGTTGATTACCTCAAGTTTTTCAGCCCAACTGCTAAGCTGTTTAAGTGCTGTCAGCAACAGGCATAGAAGTTACAGCAGTTTGTGCCACAAGTGTCGACAGCAGCAACTGAAAATCGTTGTGTCGTCTAAGGTCAGAGAGAAACTAGCTAAATTGTTTTTCAGCTTTTGCGATAATTATGTTTCTAAGGATATCGTAACTTTCTTTATTGCATGCATTTTAATACAGATGCACCCATACAAAAAATGTAAGTAATCGTCCTTTAGTTTAAATATAAGAAAAATATCTCATAGTAGCTGGAAATAGTTTAGTTAATTTTGTGCACATGTATATTTAAAAAAAATTATAAGAATAGGATAAGAAGCGACTCTTTAACATTCTTTGGGCAGCATCAAAAATTGTTAAATGGGACAGACATATTACCCATCGCCTAGATAAATAAAAAAATATTAACAGAGCATGCAATCGGTCTCTGAAATAATCGAAAAAAAACTAAACATGAAAAGAAACTATCTGCGACACACACATATTAAATACCCTTATAGGCATGTGACAAGATTTTCCGGATACATGTGCCATAATTGTGAACTTCATAATTGCTTAGTTTCGTGAAGATATCTAAGATATCTTCTGCATATGACAGTAAATCCTATAGAAAGAAGCGGGGTTAAAAGGGTAAATGCGGCTTTGGTCAAGATATAAACAAACATATTTATCATACTCGCACACAGACGGATGCGTCACAAAGCTAGTGACTGAGCGACAAACGAAACCAATAAACACGTATTTTATCTTAGAACAGGGTATTACAAATTTAATTGTTCTGTACAAGAGAGGAAATGCGCTGAGCGTTGTGCAAGGCTAGCTATATGCAATTATCTTAATGTGTTTTTGGATGAATACTTAAGTTATATATAAGATATATAAGAACTTCCATGCCCAATTGATATATGGAAGTATATAGCCTGGTTAGAACACAATTGCTGAGAACGAAAAGTTTTACCAGATTTATTTTGTTGTTTATTTTTTTGTACATATTTTCCAATGGGTATAGAGGGTATAATAGAGTACAAGGAGGGTTTAGTGCAAATGTATGTAAACTATTTTTTTAATACTATACGCAGAATATCAATCGTACGCCATTCCCCCCAAATATGTTAATATATATAATTTTAAAAAATTTGATTCATCCTTTTTGGCCCATTCACACATTTGTGTGAAAGTTCCATAATTTTTGGACTATAAGCAGCGAAGTTTTTCTAGACAGCATTACACGTTGGGAAAAGGGAACAAGAAGCGCAGGGTATTTCTTAGTCGGGTGCTTCCGACTAAAAGGCACAAAATGCGCTTGTGAACATCTTAAAAATTATTTTAAATTTGATGTGTGCGTACATGATGATTTTAAAAGCTATATCATATTTTGTTTTGGCATTGTCCAAAGCCTCTAATCGAAATGTTGTAGCCAGATTTAGACTTTTGTGTACAATTAATTAAATTCAGCGCACTTAATATTTTATTCACATACAAGACAATAAAATGTTTGGAATATTTTGACCATCCAATCATCGTTGTGCTAAGTGTAGCATGCAAGAAGCAAAAATAAATAAACTCAAGCATTTATCATGGGCTTTATTCAATTATATTTATTTATAGGCCACATATGTAGATATATGTATCTACCGATGTATACCCAAAAACTATTGGAAGTGCGCCATGGGCCATATTGCATTAAATTTAATTCATTCATGGCGCCTACTCCAGATACGTCTGCTAGCGGGGCCCATAATCGTAATCGTCTTAATGTGAACTAGTCAATATTTTCATTTCAGAGCATTGCATAGATTTAATGCTGCCCACAATCAAGTTTGAAGTCGAGCCAATCAAAGCTGACGCGTAAACAACACCAAATGAAAACAAATACATGCTGAAAATGGTATAAAAAAACCTAGGAAAAAAACACACACAAAAATGCTGAAAATGCTAAAAATGCTGAAAATGCCGAGATGTTGAGGTCTAGAGCCAAGAACAACTTGTTGGGCTATTCAGTTTACTCCCTGACGGTTGAAATTAATCGTCTTTGCAATTGACTTTGAGCAATTGTGAGAATTCCGATGCCACTTTGGCGATAAGATCTCTGACAATCTCTGACTTTAAGCAGTAAATAAATATTCAAAATTGATAAATATTTATTTATTAGCTCTAGGATGCCTTGCGTTGAGTTTGTGTTTAGCTGATGGCTTTTTGTTTAATTGACTGCAATGTAAGCTGGTCGTGAATGTGTTTCACAATTATTATAAATATTATTTAATATTTTAGCTTTTAGATCTTTGGCTAAATGGCTAATAAATATCGACAATCCATAAATATTATTATTTATTCTCAACAGTGGTCAGCTAATTGGGCACGACAAGCCCGCCCCCTCGGTCAGCATTGAAGTGACCTGTCGTGACTTACGATGAAGCATTCGCAAATATGCCCCATGACGATTCTCTCATCTCAGTCGCCCGCATTTATCGGGCCACTTGACGCACAAGCAAACATCTTCGCCTGTCCAATTCTCGGCCAGTCGGTTTATGCACATTTTATAATAGATACATTCATGTTTATTTAAATATATCTTTTGTTGCTCAATTACTGTAGATGTTGTTGTAATTGTTGTTACTATGCGTACAGTGGCCATCGCAACGGCCATCAAACATTTTGTTTTAATTTTTTGCCAGTGCAAATATGCAAAATGATTGACAGCACAATTAAGATACCGGCACTGAGCACATAGGTAACGGAATATTTAAATAAAAGTGGAATGGAGGGAGGTCCCATGCCAGCTACAGCCTTATATGGCTGCAAATTTCTATAGCTATGCAGAGCACACACTAGACAAAAGACAGCTCATGTAGAACAATACAAAAATGTTTAATATACAATTTTTTTAATCAGCGATTGAAGTTTTTAATTATTTATTTTTATTTTGTTCAATTTTTCAATTTGATTTTAAATTTAAATACTTAGTATGCATCATATATACCCTTGTGTATTGCCGGATATGCATATTATAATGATTTTTGATAGAGTCAATTTTATGAAAAACTATCAAAACATCTATTCACATTATGGAAATGTTAAGTTTATTTACAATTATAAACTTTTAAATGCAGCATAAATATTGCAATCTAATTCTGAACATTTGCGCAATTTCCACATATTTATTAGGTCATGTAAACTTTTCTGAATCAACAATTTTTAACTTTAAAAGTCGTATATTACATTCCTTGCGAACTATAATTCCAATAATTCCTTATATTTAAAATGGTGTTTCCTGTCTAACTGGGGGGTAAATATTTTGTGAACAAGTTGATTTCCAAGAATCCTTATGTTAATTAATTTAAGACGTGTTTCATAGTTCAATCAGTTTCCAGCTATCTGTTTGAAACGTGGTCAAGGCTGGTCAAGACGAGACACTAAAATGTGCAGAAAACGCCAAATAATATATGTGTCTAGCACTTGAAGCAAAAAACTTGAAATTACCAAGACCGGGGATTCCAGATAGCTAAGAATATTCTAGAGAAAATTTTATTTAGGCAACGCTTGTATTAGTTTGTCGATTGCCAAATCGAAACTAAATATATCATTTCACAAACAGTTTGTGACAATCTAATTGCCCAAATTACTCCATTAAATCATGTAAAATTATTTTGATTGTTTTAAATAATGTAAATCATATAAATATCTACAACTTTACGTACAGCCATAAATCAAATCACTTCGGTTAATTTATTACTTTCGTATGCGTAATACTTGTTACTTTCAATTCTGGCGATAAATTGGCCTAATCTAGGCTGAATATATTCTTTGCATGCTTATTTGCTTGCCTCTGTTTCAGTTTTTGTTAGCCTTGGCTGATTGCCAGAAAAAAAAAGAACATAAACATAACGTAAATGACAAAACAGAATATAAACACGTGCCGATTTTGCAGTAATACATAACGTATGAGTAATATTGCTATAAAGCCTATTATACGCATGATAAATTACGAATAGACTTCAGATTGATTCCCCGCGAATTTTCAAATATTCGAAATGTGAAAGTAATATGTCAAACAACATTTAGTTCTACCTCAAACATTTGCGGCAGCTTTTAACTGTTGTCAAGTGCTGCTTCTTCTTCTTATTTATTTTGTTGTAATTATATTATTATAATTATTTTGATTAGTATTATTAGCAATATTAGGTTGCAGGCTTGAGCCTTAGCTGAAGACCAGTTCCAAATATATTATTTGAAATAAAGAAAGCGACTATTCATAAATAGTAGAAAAGAGTAGTATATACATTATATGCAATAAATAGTGTATTACTTTGCCAATATTTGAATTAAATTTTGTTTGAGAGTTCTCAGAAAAATCATATAAGAAAAATTCAAATATTATTTAAGCAAGAAAAAAGTTTCATCAAACCATATAAATACGTACAAGTTGCAGTTATTGGTAGATCAAGTTGCAACTTCTTGCAATTGCAAGAACTTTCGCTCATAAATAGCAAAGAGAAATCAATTACCGAGGGAAGATATTGAAACCAGATATGTTACCAGCTGATAAGTGTTGGTCGAGAGCGTAAGAAAAACGTGTTATTAATTATGCAAAATCGAATGCATCAATAACGCGAATCACATCGAAGCTGTCAGCCTTTAACAGTCAATTTGAGATTGCCAACTCCGCCCTGGCCCCGCAAGCGGTCGAGGTTAAGTGCGTTTGGGTCTATACTAAGCGACAATGACGAAATCGTTCTCTAGATGTGTTTACAAAACCGAAAACAAATTGAGTTTTGATCATTAGGCATATCATTTGCTAAGTGAATATTATGCATTTGTTTTAAATTGAAAATACCTTTTTACTTCCAAGAACTCTCTTAAAGCATATTTATTAGGCGGTTTGTATGCACGGCTTGCCAGCAATTAGTAAAGGTTTTTTAAAATCATTTTGACATAAGTTTCAAATGAAAATATAATGTATTTTGCATTTGTGCTCAGAAATGTTAATACATATGTTTACTAATTGGCGTCGAAACATACAAATTAGTACAGGTGTTATATGCTAGTTGTTGAAATGTTCTATCATGGAATATGTAATGTACTTACTTTCTTACTTACATTCATTTGAAACTACCTTTGTTCCAAGTTCCAAGTTCCAAGAATTTTGGACTATGCATTGATCCACAATCAGCCAGTCAGTTTCATATACAGCGATTAGGGTATACAATCTCAGTTGATTTATGTACGCCGCACAGATGTCCAAGGCGGCCTGCACATTGCCATCCTGCTCGTAGTCGCCGGTTTGCATATTTTCAATAAGCTCCTGCACATGTCGCTCCATGTAAATGGTAATCCAGCGCCGTTCCCTGCCGCGCGCTGGCATTGGCGCCATGCGCCAGCGCAGCTCATAGCAGCGCCGCCAGAAGTAATCGTCACGGATGTGAGAGCTGAGCGACTGCAGCGGCAGCTGCGTATCCAGCTGGCTGAGTATTTAGTTACGGTCCTGGCGTCGTCGCAGCTGACGGTAGAGCGGCAACTCTGGGAACAGACAGTCAGACAGTTGTCATCTTGGGTCTTGTGGACTACCCTTACCGTTCCAATTGCTGATGTCGCAGACTTTTCGCTTGATTTGCTTGTCCTTCGTCGGTCTCGAGCTGGAAATGGTCCAATGATTTACTATTGACTTGGGGCAGCTTGACATCCTTGGGATCGAAATAGGCCTTGAAGGTGTCAATAGAGACGGTGCTGGGGAACTCGCAATACGTGAAATCCATCTAAGGAGTTGTCTGCTCCACAAGCAGTAAACATTTAAATACATTTGTTAGGAATAATAACATAGCTGTGGTTAGTCATGGAGACAGGAAACTGTTGCCCGGGCAACTTCTTGTCTAGTATTGGTAGGCGCCTAAAGATATTTTTCTAAACCAAAACAATTTTTGATACATAAACTTGGTTTTCGCGACCTATTGTTTCTTTATAAGTTTTATGATATACTGGTGCGAAATTGATAAGATTTTGTTAGCATTGTTAGTCAAATGCCAATTTTTTCGTATGGTTCCTTTGGCAGACTTATGAAACACAGGAAAGTAGCTTTTTATGCTGTTATGGAATATATATACTTTATGGGGTCTATTGCAGGCAGTAAATATGTCAGAGGTTAAGGCTTAGACTAAAGTAAATCTGCTTGCAAGATTGATCACGGCTGGCAATCGTTGGTGGAAAGCTGCTGTCTTGGAAACTATTGCAGATAAACACCGACAACACGTTGCTGCAAGGACTCGGCCTATCAGTCAGAAATGGTGCAAGCTCGTATACTCAGCATTTTATTTTATTTTTTACATGTGCTATATTCATTGATTTCTTATAGTTCATGGGCATAATAAGTCCACCTGAGACAATGTCCTAGGCTGGAGCATAGCCCAATAAATTCATATCTGAAATATATAGTATGTTAAGATCAATTTCAACGTATATGTTCACGACAAAACAACCTGATGAATCGGGTACTTGGGAAGTAAATATTCCATGCGCTGATGTCGCCTCAACATGCACTCATGAAAATCTCTAAACTTAATAAAATCTTTTGTGTGGCATTCCTCTGGGTTTCCCTTCCTAAAAAGGCTCCTTCGTAGATCCATCATAATGGCCCTGTTTTTGTGCGGATTGTAATATCTGTGGATCTTTATCCAGTTCATTACCTTGGGTTTATTATAGATTGTAGACCTTCCGAGGCACACTTTATCCAATGTCTTGCTGTTTTTAAATAAAAAGGGAAAATAGATTGATAGATGGGCTAAAAAATTGCTCATTGATCCATGTATGGAGTATAGGGAATCAGCAGTGTATTCACTTGATTCATACCCCGTTAATTGGTCACAAAATTAAGTAGTTGTACCTACTTGTATGGGTGATAATTTACGAATGGGAATTTATCAACAATAATCCTTGGGATGGTAACGAGCGAGTGGATGTTAAAGCGCGTATCCTCCCATACTTTTCCATAAGTGACACCCCATGGATTGTAGACCCAATTGCCCATGGAATCAGTTTTGAATCTGGGCACCGATACAGTCCATTCGCCGACAGTCTTTGTAGTATCCGCTTCCTTACCTCCTCCTCCACCTGCTCCACTTTCTCCACCTCCTCCACCACCTCCACCTCCTGCACTTTCTCCACCTCCTGCACTTCCACCACCTCCCGCACCTCCTGCACTTCCACCACCTGCTTCATCTTTCTCATCTTTCTTTGTAGTCACAGTCTCATCACCGCCTTCCCCAGCTCGGGGTCGCACCGAATCCTTGATGAACTTGGTCAGTTCAGCCGGGTTATGAGAGTTATGTTTCTGAAACATTCGTATGTTATGCCTGTCTTCTGCGACCTCATGATCGTCTAAAACTTTTGTATTGGGCGTAGAGATATTTTGTCGAAACTTTGTTCCGTATTGCTTTGTGTTATTTGCAGGACTTTTTAATGGATTGGCGTCAATATTACCGAAACGAATTACCTGTTATCTGAGAGGTAATTGAAGGGAAAATTATGCTTAAGTAAGCTACTTACATATACTAGACAGACGAAGGCAATACTTATAAATAAATTTAACTCCATGTTTCTACTAAGCCCTGTTGTTGCTTACAGTTTTGAGCTAACATAAACACAATTTATTACACGAGCAAATGAAGTAAAAGCCACAGCAAACTAGATGGAAACAAATTTAATTTGTTTCGTTAAAAAGTAGCCTTTTTTAATAAACAAGGTGTTGTTAATTTCGCAGCACTGAACCCTCTCCCAGCGGAGCTTTCTTGTCAACAATTGAATAAATTATCATCGGATGGCTACAAAAGACGCCTCGTGTGTATATGTTTGGTAAATTTGGCAGAAAATGTAGCTATATTTGGTACTCGAATAAGGCTGGCTTACTGAATTTCACTTTTGCCTATTACTCGAAGGTGCCTTTTACATTCATATATGCTCTCTATGCTCAATAAATGGGAACAGGGTATAACTGCGATAGGTATTTTAATGCTTCAGTTCATTGCACGTTACGCTTTGAACTTATTTTGATCTGTATCTATACGAAAATATATTACAATGTTGACAGGTCCAATTTCCAATTTTCAATACCCAGACCCACTAGAAATGGGTGAAATATAATATCATATTTGTACATATTTGTCCTTACAATATGTAAGTACAAAGGCATCTCACAGGCATCGCCCTATAAAGTGTATACAGTCTGAGCCAGTCTCCACAACCGAGTCGATCATGCCATATCTGTTTGCATATTCGCCAAATCTTTGGTATGAACGCCCCCACTTCAATGATTAAAGGGACAAGCCCAACAGATAAGGAGACGTGTAAGTTTTTATATACACTTTTCAAATTATCCTCTGCGCTAGATACAGGGTATTGCCTAGTCGGTTACTCTGCACCAAATTACTCGTGCTTGTGTACTTTTGTACATTTATGTTTTGCCCCTTTCAGTCCTTTGCTCCGAAACGTGCCTGGAATATTTATTGAAACTCAAGAATAAAAGCAAAGAGTCATCAAACGGGTTGCACTTTTGACGGACGCGTCACCATGGTTGCGGTTGAATGAATATATTTATTTAAATATATTTCTGTCTATATAAAGATATATGCCCAGCTATTAATCTGACTGGAGGTCATTTATAAATTTGGGCACTTTAACCCCATTTATACATATATAAATATATATGGTACGCTATTTCCATTTCGTTCACTTGGCATCGCTATTAAAGCACACAAGCTATAAGAAAATTCGTGCAAGCCGGCGGCAATAATAGCGCCACCAAAAACAACAACAAGAGGACAGTACCGAAATACCATGAGTAAAAAACGAAAATTTATCGATGCTCACTTCCGCAAACAACCGCACAGCCACAACAACAACAGGAATCAATGTGCTTAAGCAATAGCTAGAACAGCATTCCAAAAAAAAGGAATTAGCAATTCGTGCCGAATATTAAATACCCTTAAGATAGAACATGTTTTTAGACTTATATTAATTGGCAATTATAATACACTTTTTTTTGTTTATTATATAATGTTAATTAAATTGATAAATAAAATAGCAAAAGTAGAAGTATTTCCCTTGTGTTGCAGCATGTATCACATAGTTGGTATACAACAATTTGAAACATCTTGAGAGGCAAACATTTATAAAACACTTTTGGCCATTTCTCTTCATTAACTGCATGCCAAGATAGCTGGGGAGCAGGCCAAGAAGCAAAGCACAGCAAAGTGTTTCCTAGTCTGCCGCAATATCACTCAACCTCATATCCCCATTTGCTCTTAAGGAAAATTCCCGCCTCATTCTCTCCCATAAAGTAAGTTCATCCCACCGACTTGCGGCAGGCAATTTCTTGGTTTTCATGCTTTTGGGCGCTGCTTAATGAAGTTTTCACACAAATTTCTCGGCAATTTTACTGTCGGACATTGCATAATTGATGAGGCCTGGCGAAACGGCGACATTTTTGACAAATCACAACGCCTGGACAAGTTCCAATTAAGTCGTATGGCCGTTGATTGTGTAGTTGTTGTTGTTATCATATTTCCTAAGTCGCCGGCGACACGTTCTTTATTAATAATTCGTAATAATATTTTGGGGCAAGCAAAGTGTTAATGTTGATGAGCTTAGGCTTTGCGTTACGGCCGCCAAATGGGCAGTAATTTATTTGTGTAACTGAAGCTGACTGGCGTTAGGGACTAGCGCCTACGCGTGGACATTGGCAACATGTTGGACATCCATGTAGCAACTAGCAAAACATGACCATAACGTGCAGTTTAAGCCGCTGAAATTCAAGTCAACCGCAACGCAGATGCAGCACACCGTTAATAATTTATTACATAATTAACCGCAAATTAAGGCACACACGGGTGACGCCAACTACAATTGCCCCAACTGCTGTACAACAAACCCAATGTCAACACAGTTGGGCAGCAGTGCCCGATATCAACAACAATAGCGAGAGCAAATAAAACGAGCTGCAGGCGCAACACCTGATCATCTTAGTCACAGCTAGTTGTTGTATGGCAATTGCTCTATCGGATCTTTGCCCACAAAATATAATATGCATAAAGTGTATCTCGTATTCCACTTGATCACTCGCTCCAGGAACTGAAACGAGCTTTGCTTCTCAAATAATAACAACAAATATATAAAAAAAAAAAAACAAATTGCATGCTTGAACAGAACTTCGGTTGTTCTGGTCCAATCCATGTGATTCATTCAAGGTTTGAATATAATAATATAGTGAAATATTTGTAATTGGCTAAGATGGAACATACAAAACATATTGTTTGTCTTTAGTTAAAAAAGCTTTGAGACTTGGACAATCACCTGAAAATCGATATTTATCGGGATGAGCTATCGATGATTCGAAATAAATTGAATATGCTTTGGCATTTAAAAACACAGAAAGTCATAGCTAGACAGACTTTTGTCTATTGTGCTGAAAGTGCCTTCTTTTTATTACATGCACATGCACCCAACCATAATACCCGATTCTTAACTTATTTCAATGTGTACAGTGTAAAAAAAAGTTAAAACTATCAACAAATATTGTTTTTACAACAAGTATCATTTTTCCAGTTTTCCTAGCTTTTTTTGTAGTCTCCCATTGTTGTTTTTGCTGTCGCGGGCTGCTGTTTGCATGCCATTTGGCCATGAATTGAGTTTTTTTTGTCGGCGGCTCACAAAATTTTTAAGCTTAGTGCATGCAAATATTTAATATACGCATGAACGACCTGAATATTAAACAATTTCCAATTTGTTTAAATCTAATTCTAATTTAAAGATTACATCGGACTTAAGTCAAATGAGTTGTTGTTCTATATGAACATCTATCTCACCGATGTTTGGTTATATTTTAAAACTTTTCAAAATTAAGTATTATCAAATGTATGCAAATGCATTTTTTTCATGGCAAATGGGGACTTTGCCCGAAAGAATTATTAAATGATATCCAAGCTGCTAAAGCTTCGTGAAGCTTCGTTTCGGGGCTGGATTTAAAAATTGAAAAAAAAAAGCAAAACAGCTATTCGCCGGCTGGCTAAAAATCATAAGTAATTGTGAATTTTTATTTTTATTAATTTGAGAACAACACAATGACATAAACAAAAATCAGAATCAAATCGAAAATTAATGTCAGTTGCTTTGACATTTGATTTGTGTTTTTGGCTAAACTTCCAGCTAGTTTTATGTAGAAAACTAAACCTGAGTGTAAAGATCTCTTTAGAACGCCGAAGACTTAATACTCTTAAATGTTAGAATAGCGATGCTCTTTAAATATGAGTTTGATGAAAATATATTGGAAAACATAACAAAACATGGCAAGTTGTACAAGAATTCATTTTTTACCGACTCTTCCTAAAGACCTGTATAATATAGTAATAGTATCTTTATAATATTTGGCGGCATAGCTTAATAATATTAAATAAAATTAATTGAGAAATGTAAGGTTTGTGTCTTGAAAAATAAAAGAGCTTTTCAGCCAATCGTTCCTATGGCAGCTCCTTGATACAGTGGCCCGATATGTTGATAAGATTTTGTATATGTGTAAGAAACACGGTGAAACTAAAAAATGGCCGAGTTTGATGTAAATATAAACTGCCAACAACAGAAGGGCAGACCAATGCAATGTATCAAGACGATAGCTTAAAGACTGAGGGTTAGCATAGAAAGAGACAGACATATTAACTCGAGTGCTGTTGCTGATCTTGAATATATACTATTTTTGAGTCGGATGTATCCCCTTCAACTTGAAAATCTTAGCCTAAATCAATTGCTAAAATTACTACGCTCTGCTCTGGGGGCTTCTGTTTAGTATCTTTTGAGCAAACATACGTGCAGAGAAGCGCTTCATTATGACACTATAGCAGTCCTGAATATTCGCAACCCCTAGACGCTACCAAAAATTAATGTTTTTCCATGGCTCTCAGTCCTGCAGTGCATCAGCCGTTTTGCAACAATCAAACAAAAGCTGCCCACTCTACCAGCTGGCGGCTAAAAACCTGCTGCTGCTTACCCTGCTGACTCATTAAAGGGCCACATGTGTGCGGTGCACATAATGCCATGCCACACACTGACACACACACACTCACACCCACGCGCTGTGTGAAGAGAAAACGAACCTTAAATTGCAGTGACATCATTAAAGGGTTGCCAAGCTGCCATCTGATACATACTATGTGTCTGTGCCTATGAATGAATGTGAATGTGGGAATCTGGGCGCCTTTCAAATTAAGCCAGCAGAGTGCTGTCAAGGCAAGAGCATTGTATATTCATATGAGGAGCACGCCAGCTAACCCGACATCTACTTATGTTTGGAGCGGCTGCCATAGCCAGTCAGCAGTCGAGTGTTGCTGGTCCACTTGGGACGCGACCTGTCCGCAGGCTGTCACCAGGTGACTTTAGATTGCGCTTGCAACATATGCAATCAAAAAGAACTTTCACTGCTAGCAAAACCACGCACCCAACCAGAATTGCAAATCCCCGCAGCACTGAGGCCAGCTAAAATAGCTGCAAATTAAAGCCCTTATCACGCTGAAGCATTTATGCAAAAGCGAATCTATTTAATGGTTCATTACCCAAACAACATGCTAACGTTAACCAAATTTCATTAAAACTGAAGACATTCCATTTGATACATTTGACACTATTTGATTTGGGTTCCTAGCAATTGGACTAAGAAGGACAGTTAAGTATTTACCTGATTAAAGTACACATTTTAAAACATAATTAATCATTTTTATAGTGTTCAATTTTTGAAAATACTCCAGAGCCTCTAAAAGGGAGTTCACGACTTGGGAATACCCTTAAGCCTCTTTTCGACTTCGGTATAACCAATGGCTGCTATGATACAGGGGTCCGATCAGGCCAACTCTGACAAATTTATAAGCAAAGGCCGTAAAAAAACTTGTGCTTAGCATAACATTTGGAAAAAATATAAGTTGCAAATTTAACAGACAGATAGATGTAAATGGCTAATATCAAATTGGCTGTGAATATTGATCAAGGGCTTATAGACTTTATGGAGTAAGGGGTGTGCTATGCTGTCACTTTCAAAATGTATCTAAAAGACTTCACAAAATTTAAGATCGCCTTTCCGATCTGTTCTGCCCCAAATTCAAGCAATCTATCCATTCCAAAATGCATCGAGAAAAATAGTTTCTTTAAATTCAGTTGATGCAAACATGTTATTTATAATAATATAAAACAAAATTTAAAATATTTACCTAAATTGTACCTGATTTATACAGTATTTCTTCACGTTACAATATTCAAGATAATTTTGCTATGCGCTCGTTCTCAGCTAGAACATGAAAAGGGAACAAAATGCATCCCATTTATTTTCATTTTTGGCAACACAAAAATTTTTCATTTCGCCAAACGCCAAATTGCAAATGGCGGTTGTGCTGAGTGTGTGCGTGTGTGTGTGTGTGTTTGTGGCCATTGCTGTGGTTGTGCCAAGCACACACCCCCAGCACTCTAACGCTGCCTTTGTTGCGGTTGATTGGCCAAATCACTTGCATACAAAATGCGCTTTTTGGCTGTAGTCCTGCGGGTGATGCCACCCACATGGCGTATGCTGAAATAGTTGCGGCAAATATTTTCTGATCAAAAAATGTTACAACAATATTTTCCCACTTGTTTATACGCATGTGAAAGTTGAAAGTGCAGCGACAAAATTTTTCACAAACTTTAAAAATAGTTTAAGTTAACTTAAAAGAAAAAGAAAGGCCACTCTGCTGCGGTCGAACCATTTGCATTCATCTTCGACATGATGCATATTTAATAAAACCTTTATGCTGATAGACCCAAGAACGTTTAACTAGAGGAGGTGTAAGCTCATTGTCGAAAAGAAGGAAAAGGTCGTACAGACTAGAAATTACCAAGCCGACATTTCAAACAAAAAGCGTTTTAGGCGCGTGGGTGTCGTGCATGACAGTCACTGCTCGTCAGTCGTCAGTCGACTTAAGACTGACGTCAGCTGACAGCCGATGCGGCTGTGTACAAAAGCCGTACCAGTAGCAGCCGTCAATGCAGCAGGAGCTGCCCTTTTGTTGCGATGTCATTCACATAATGTCCATTGAGTGCAACTGGCAGCCCGTAGTATTGCATCCATTGACAGTTCTGAGCAAATATATTAAAAAAAAAAAAACATATTTTAATCAAGCACAAAATCACGCTTTTTAGGCATTAAATAGCTCATGTGGTTGTTGCACATAAGAGAAAAAAGATTTCTCAAAAACAAGCACAAATAATCAATTTGTGTAGTAAGCTTTTACGAAAGGAAGAAGTTGTCTTTCAGAGAAACTCAAAATTCAAAGGTTCCAATGGCAGATGTATCAAGTTCCAATTATGGTATGCAAACTCAATTCAAGGTATTTGTAATAACAAAATACATATTGTGCCACAAAAAGAATTTTTGCAAGTAAAATAAATTGTTTTTATGTTCACAGTTCGCAAAAAAAAAAAAATAATAATAATAATAATAATACCCGTACGCTTGGCTGCATAAATGCAAATATGTTAGTGGCATTTGCATTTGTATTCTCGGAAACTAATTAAGCAATGTTGTGGTTTCTCTGTGGTTATTGCCGCAAAACATATCAGAGGCAATTTGTATAGCATTTATCTGCAACTAATTAGTACAAATTCCAAAGGGTAAAATGGAGAGTTGTTACAAATAGCTACCTTTCAAGGGCAAAATACAATTTCTCATTATGCCCAATTAAAATATGTAGCTAGTGGTAACTAAGGATGACATGTGCAAGTACTTAGTTCAGATTTAAGCAAATCCCATAATTGTACTAAAGTTGACTGATATTTTTTCATTACAGCACTTTGAACAATCAGCCAGAACAACTTGACAATAAGAACATATGCAGCAATAGACAAAAAATCAACATCAACAACAACGGCCTACACTTAACAAGTTGTTGTTATTAAGCACGCAAGACAGCTTTAGAATGAAATGGAGATGCAAAGTGAGGCTGGTCATGGACCAACAACAGCAACGACACCTGAAGAATCAACAAACGGAACATCTACGTTCACATACAAGCCACGCGATTTCAATTGTCGAGTGGTACAGACGGCAGAGCATGAGCTCTGGCAGCCATTCATTAACTGCGAGGCGGTACAAGGCCACAACATCAGCAACACTTACAAAAACAGCAGCAAAACATTCCAATGCACACTGCAAGGATTCAATAGACACGAGGATAGAGCAATTTATGCGTGCAATGCAACAGTCGAAGAGGCGGAGGCATCCACAGTTAAGTCCTGTTTACTAGAGACGCAACTGTTGCAGCCGCCCCACGAGGCGTATGCGCAATTTCAGCTGGCAATGAATGAGACCGTTAGTGATAATGTGAGTGATACGCTTAGTTTTAGTGCCGACTGCAATCGACAAGTGCTTCTCTGTGAGCCCAAGGACGAGGAAGTGCATCAGCAAAAGCTGTTATGTCAGCTGCAGCTGGAGCAGGAAACTGCAGGCCCCACCGCCCCCCAGACAGCGACAACATGGCTCGACTATCATATCGAACTGGGCGATGGCCTGTGGTCGTGGTTGAACTTTAGCGAACTGGTGGACAGTGTCGGGACCAGTGGCATTGGAAGTGTCAGCAATGCAACCACCAGCATGGACATGATACTGTCCAACTACACGCTGTCCGACACAGCGCTGACCCCGACGACAACAACAGCAGCAACAGACATTGTCATATCGAGAAGCCCTCTTGACTACTCGCCTCACGGCTACGACTGGCTGTTCCTATTCGTGGTGTTTTTCATATTTGCCGGCGGCCTGGGCAACATACTCGTCTGCCTGGCCGTTGCACTGGATCGCAAGCTGCAGAATGTCACCAACTATTTTCTATTCTCACTGGCCATAGCCGATCTGCTTGTGACCTTGTTTGTGATGCCCATGGGCGCCATTCCAGCATTTTTGGGTAAGTCGTTTTGTCTGACACCCATCAAGTGAACATGTGTATCTAAATTATCACTGCATATAAACGATTTTCGACATAAAGCAACTCACAAACGCTTTAATAGCTTTTGCATATATTTATTGCCCCCCTTCTGGCTGTATCGCAAGCTCGGAAGTTCATAATTTTTTTTTCCTTTGTAGCTTATTTGCAATTGATATATATTATATAAATATGTAAATTATAATGTAGATGATACTAGAATTGTGTGATGATGTATGATGAATAAAAGGAAATATCTGCCATCATATTATAAAATTATATTTTTCATCAGTCGAGTAGACATGAAGATGTCTGCCTGCGTGGTAATAAGTTTAAAAAAACACCAAAGAAATGGAGTATAATTGGAAGTTACAAACACTAATTTGTCTTTTGCTTAGATTATTTTGTCAGCTATAAAGCTCTCATATGGCAGGTTCGAAACAACAGAGAAGAACAGCATATTATTGTATTATTTATTATATAAAGAAATTGTAAGGTTTAAAATAAATTCAAAAAAGAATTTATGTTTTAATCAATTGAGGCAATTATTTTCTTGGCTAGCGTTTAATTTGTTTGTCGATTGGGTTAGGACCGCAGGATGTGTCGAATTGGTTCAAGATGTCAATGGACATGAAAGTTTTGATGCTTACAATTTCTTTTGTAATGTATTAATGGGTCGGTAGGAGGTGAGTAATGTGTAGAAAGCTTTTGTATATTGAGCACAGGATGGGAGGCAAGGGATTGCATAAATGCAATGTGAGCACTTTAACGGCACGCAGACAACGGCTGCTCGGATAATATCTTTAATATTTAAATTGTTTTGAAATTACAATCTAAATCAACTAGTTATCACAAGCAGTTTTTATATTCCGATTCCGATAAAACCTGACACATTGCCAGCTAAATATGTAAACAGTATTATGAACACATTCGAATTCATGCCAGCCTAATTTGCATGTGCCACAGATAAGGTCTGTCTGCTGTTCAGCTGAGCCCAACGTAGCATGAACAGATCAAACACATAATGGGCGGGCGCACATGATGCCAAAAAGTTCACAGCCTGTCGTAGCCCACACCTCAGCTATTTGCCCCCACAGAGCAAACACAACATGTTATATATTTAGTGGGTTGTTTCCAACCAACCACATTAACAACATTAGCGTATTTCGTTTTATTATGAACGGATTAGTTGTGCAGTCACCAGCTGGTATTTAGTTTAATATAGTCTACTTTTTGGTGCTTCTAAAATGATTAGATGACCTTATTTTTAAAACCCCTCAATTAATATATTAAAAATACATATTCTCTAATTTGAATTAAAAACAAATTATTTTTTTTTAGCTTTGTGCATATAAAAAATATTAAAGGCAAGTAAAAAAATGGACAGTTGCTGCTGCATTTAAGTCAGCGACTTTTCGCTTGGTAGTCGGACGCTCAGACGTTAAAGTCATACGGACTCATAACTTTTGCAAATCACAAATTGAGTATATGGTTGTTTAAAATGTTTTTCAATACTTGTCCCCTCTCGCTTGCCGAAAGGAAGTTGTAATATAAATGTGTAGCTCTTACGGCCCAAGCTGTGGTCATTGTTCAGTCAGTCATTCAGTTGTTCATTCATTCAGTCAGTCAGTCATGTATAGATATTCGAAAATGAGTTTAAAGCTCTTTCAATTAAGATCAAACTTTTAAAATCCACGTTTTCCGCCACTTTTTTCCCACGCACACGCATAATGACTAAAGGGTAAAATAAATATTAATTTATTTTCCAACTAAGTAGGAAGGTCGAACTATGTGAGAAATACGTTACATATTAAATTTTATAAATATCCTTGGAATTAAGTTTGGGGCCGAAACTTCACCCACCAAATCGTTGACCATCATTCCGGCCAACGTGGTCTGCATTTTCCATAAATTTTGAAGCAACTCTCAAATGAATTTTCATGAAGAAAACGAGTTTACGGCTGATCACATCTTAAGCAAATCAGTTTTAAAGAATTTTTTTCTATATTTTTCCACACTTGTGGATGAAATCTCCATATACCCTGTCTTACCCTGTACCCCTTCGTCACATAAGGTAACAGCAGTAAAATATTCCAGTTTCTTAGGTCTTACGGCTTGAGCTTTGCATTGATCACCAAATAAAAAGTCAGTTAGTCGGGTACATTAGCTCTCTGGTACTTTATCGGTTCAGAAGTTGTTTTTTTAATCTAAGCTTAAAAACGATGTTAATTGAGGACGGAAAGAAGAAGAAAGTACAAGTTGACAGTCAAAGAGCTGGTAAATAAGTTGCTAAAGGACACTTTGGCGAGCATAATGGACTTCAACTTCTTTTCGGGCGTAATTTACGCTTTAAGCCTTTCAGCGCTCACTTTCTGAGTCCTTGATTCAGCCAAGTTAATCCTTGGCATCTTGTGCACTCTTGTATGTACATGCCCGGGGCTAGATGTTTGACGCTTTAATTTCTGGCATTCTTTACTTACGGTCTTGTTGATTTTTGGTTTGCACTTTGGCCATTCCACGAGCGCGCTTTATGCAACAGTTTTCTGCAGCTGGTGCACTTGCGAATTTCTCATTGTGCCACTTATGTACATTTGAGACGCCTCCCCAGCTACCGCTGCTGACGTGGCTCAGGGCTGGGTCTTTGTTTTCACGCTTAAGTTGCTTGCAGACGACGATAGCAGGCGCAAACTAAATGAAACTAAAAGCCTTAAACGCAAGCCTTAAATAAACCGCGACAACAACAAAAACACCAAACAGCCACCTGCCCGACAATTATGCTGTAAATGGCATGAAGAAACGGTTGCGCTGCATATTTGTACATGCACGGAAAAAATTGAATGGGCCTAATTAGGTTTTTGTACCCTTCTTTTGACTTGTGAGAAGAAGTCTTATCAAGTTGTAAAACAAATATATTTAAATGAGAGACCAGAACAAACAGACTTGGGTTGAAAATGTGAGTCTTCGTAACTTCCAGCAATGGATTTTTTTCAGTATAATTTGTGTTTTTGCTCACGATTGACATTTACGCTTGGTTTACGTTTCGTTATTAAAACGCCATAAAAAAGTTGATGATTTTTTACGTCAGCATGGAATTAAAGTGCAGCTGCGTTGCCGTAAATTTAATAAATCAAGCATTAAACTATAAGTCAGCCCGCGGATGATGCCTTATAAAAAAACAAATGGCATAGTGAGCATAATTGGATCATTCGATCACAGCAGATGCAGTAAGGCTACAGCTCGACCCTAATAAGCTATTTATCACAACTTTAAAAACATTGTCGAACTGTCGAAGTCCTCCAATTTAAAAAAGGAGAAGAATATGGCTTTCTGTGACGAGATCAGAATGATCTACCATTAAAACTGTACGAAGATATCAAGAGCGGAAGGGACTCTTGATAGATATAAGTCAGTATTCACTGGGCAAAATATTTATGACAGCAAACATTGCTAAATATGTGTTTTCGTCCTTTTGAGTTATTTCAACTTTGACCTTTATGTATCAAATCATTTCTGCTCATAGATAAAAATCAATAAACTTGAAAATACAAAAATTCGAAACAAACTATTCAACACTTAATTAGGAATTTATTTATAGGTGAACCTTTACAAATTTTTATTAGTGTTTGAGCATGTTTTAGCCCCACCTACATATCCGAGCACTTGAGACCAAGCTCCGGACAACATGTCGCATACGTAATAAATACATTTGCAGCTCTTGATATGAATTTGTATGGGTATGTTTGAGCGTGTGTGTGTGTGTTTAATTGGCAAGCATATAAAACAAAATACGACATGTGGGTCGAGGTATGTTCTCTCATCATCGTTTTTCTCTGTCGTGTTCGAGTGTGTGTTAAGTGTGCTGAGTGGGCGCGTCTGTATTTGTCTGTTACATTGTATGTGTGCGCCAGAGTTCTACAATTAGCAAACTGAGGCCCACGCAGCGGGCCTAATAGCGTGTAAGGACAAACAGCGAGAAGCACGCATTTAAGCGCAATTTGTACTAATTAATGCAGGATTTGCCATTGGGCATTGGCTAAATAAGAAGCGCGAAACCAACTGCACCAATTTCACATATTTAAACACGGAATGTTTGATTCAGTTTGCAGCTATTCTTGTTTCTCGTTGCGTGTTTGGTTTCTGCCCAATTACAGATACATCGCGACTTTAAAGCTGTTTTATATAAATTTAGCAGCTTAGCTAAAGGTTTCGGTAACCACATTCCAGTGCGAATACCTGCCGTCAGATGCCAGTGTCAGATTTACAGCTTATGCGAGACACACACACACTCAGAGCTTCTTCTTGTAGACGAATATTTTAACAAGCCACGGATAAGCTGCGGCTGTAAAGCTACTTTCCTCGCATATTTGCAGGACATGGTGAAAAGCTGAGCAAAGATCGAGTATAAATAACTAGATATTAATAAGAATTTGCTCATATGCCAGGTGCAAAGTGAACCTTGTACAAGCAGAACGAAGGTTTGAAAGAAGCTTGTAGTAGGGTCAAGAAACAAAAAATATATGAAGGATCTGCAATTGGGAAACAGCCTCTTAGGAACGTATATACTGTTTGCAACAAACAGCTGAAGGAAATAAAGGTTAACGATTAACTTGCTTATATAGAATTATCTACATTTATGTATATATATTTATATTTCTCAACATAGTTCATTTGCTTCTTAGAAAGGCTTCAATGATACATTTTTAATGCTTTAAATATCTTTCTAAATAAAATACGTACACGGTTGAGCTTGCCAGATTCGCAAGTATCAGACAGTTAGATCACATTGTCTAGTCAAACTGCTTTGAGCACAATACGAACAAGTGTTACACTAAAGCTCTGTCCGAAGCAGCAATCCAATCTATGCAAATGAATTGAGCGCACTGAATTTTTATTCCCTTTCATTGCAATGGTATTTCGTCATTCGTTAAATGTCAAAGTGCTTGTGCTTCTCCGTTGACTTTTCGTTTTCTTTGCTTTCTTTTCATTTTACCTATCTACTGTTCATTTCCATTTCAATTAACTTTGATTTGCAGTCGTTTGCATTAGCAGATGATGTAGACAGCTCTGTCAGATCTCTGCCTTCTTGACCTTCGGTAATCTTCTATCATCCATTGCAGGCTATTGGCCACTTGGCTTCACTTGGTGCAACGTCTATGTGACCTGCGATGTGCTCGCCTGCTCGTCGAGCATATTGCACATGTGCTTCATCAGTCTTGGCCGTTATCTAGGCATACGCAATCCGCTGGGCTCACGACATCGTTCCACGAAACGTCTAGCTGGCATTAAAATAGCCATTGTCTGGGCCATGGCCATGCTGGTGTCCAGCTCAATAACAGTGCTGGGTAAGCTGAAGGCCTCCAGTTCGCATTATCTTGAGCATTGCACTGATCCTCCTTACTAATTGCAGGTTTGGTCAATGAGAAGAACATAATGCCGCAGCCGAATGTGTGTGTGATTAACAATCGCGCCTTCTTTGTATTCGGCTCGCTGGTGGCCTTCTACATCCCAATGCTGATGATGGTTTCCACATATGCACTCACCATTCCGCTGCTGCGCAAGAAGGCGCGCTTTGCAGCCGAGCATCCGGAGAGCGAGCTCTTCCGTCGGTAAGTGGATTGAAAGCATTCGTACCGCGTCTGCACACAAGTAAATGCAATTAGTTGCTCCATTGGCTCCAGCGCACAGATTTGTGCCACCTTTGACCACTCTCCAATGGGCAATGGCCAATGGCCAATGACCAACGGTTGGCAGCTACAATTGGATTCATCCGCAAATCGATACCAATAAATTATTCGCAAATGAAAATGCCATTAAGCGAAACGCTCCCAAACAACTGTCACAACTAGTAACCAAATGCGAGCCAACAGCGGTGTCCACACGGCGTATGAGTAATAGAATTTCAGTACTCAGTTCACACCGTCCAGCGAAGGGCTTTGCTTTTGGCATTGTTATACAGAGAGGGATGCTGATTGCAATTGGCAGGAAAAAAATGTATTACGAATTTGCATTTGCGCTCCCACAAAAATTAATTCAAACTAACAAAAACAACCCAAAAGTCGAAACTGAAGCAGATCAGTTCAAATTTGCTTAATGTTTTACTTTTCTGAAGTGATTCCGATTGCACAGAAATAAAAAGGGGTTCATAAAGCAAAGAGTTTACTATTTTGAAGTTTTCCAAATTTGAAAGCAAGTATTGATGTTGTTGATTTGTAGGCCAATTTTATTGGACTTTTGTCATTCTGTGAAACATCATAAGTACCCAATCGTGAGGAATGCTTTTTATATACAGATTTGTCGGTAAGGAGTAAGAAGTTTATGAAAACCTCACCTCATTGTTCCTTACTTCCATCATAAAAGGTAAGCTACGGGCCTTTAAAATTATTTAAGATTAACTGTTTTGTTAACTCACTGACTGGCAATCAAAGTGTTGACTCAATGGGAGCACAGCATCCAATCAATGCATAGATTTTTCATCAGTTATTTGCCTCTGGCTCTCTCTATTTGAATAGGCTGGGCGGCCGCTTCACAATACGCCCGCAGCACAGACAGCAACAGTTGCAGATGCACAGCAGTTTAACTAGCGATAATTACAGCAACAACAAGTGTCTGGCCATGGGTGACAGCAATCGTAACTTTAACAATGCAGCCACCGGAGTAGGTGCCAGAACAAGATGTACCAGCACGGGCGGGGGTGGCAACTACAATGAGCCCTCCGAGCGACCATTGATGCAGCAGCGAGCAACCAGCAATCGAGTCATCGGCAGCGTCAGTTTTCGCAATGGGACCAGTGGAGGTGGCTCTGATGGCGGCAGCGGAAATATGTCCAATATTGGACGCAATAGCTTTCGATTTGCTGGCGGCGGCATCTTGCGACAATCTTCTCCGTCACCGAGCACCTCATCTACATCGTTTTCGGTGCGTGGCAATTCCCAGACGAGCAGCTTCTGGCGCAAACACGGTGGCAATCCCAACTTCATGGACAGGTAAGTTGCCATGCCCCCCTCTCCCAACCCACCACTACAAGGCCCATTCAAAACTTTAATTAGCTGCAATATTTGCATTCCACTTGCCGTCCAATCTGCATTCAAATGACGCAAACAGCGGTAAACAGTTTCTGGTTTAATTAAATTGTCTGGTATTGGTGTAGTTCCGGGAATTTGAAATTAGTTGGTCCGATTTCAAGATGGATATAAATTTTGCCATCGTTCTGATTAACTGGTTTTGTTCACAAACAAATAAACTGCCTTCCACGAATCTGTGAATATTTTCTGCTCCTTGATTCAAATTAAATTGAAAATGTATATGACTGTCGGAGCTAATTTAAAAAGGATTAGGTGTTATTTTTTAATTTAATAAATTTTAAAGAAATTAAGATAAGATAATCGCATTATCTTACCCGTAAATCATGCAACACTTACTATTGTTTTTCACTACTACAAAAAATATTAGTATTAATGATGATTCTAAAGTATTGTAAGAAATCTAAGCCCAGTCAGAGTCAGTCTTTTACTAATGCGTCCTTTCGGCTTGTTGATTTATCGAAGAAGTTCTGCTTCCACTCCGGGCCAAGAGCAGCAGCCCACATGAAAAACCATTGGCAAATTTTGACCTTTTCAGGCAGTCCATGAAATTGGAGCGACAATGTTCTTGGGTGCTCATTAACTAAGATGGCAATCAGTTCATTTATTCGGGCAATGACAAATCGCAAGCCACAAAATGGTGCAGGGGCCAAAACGTGTAACATTTGTGGCCTTGGCGTGAATTTGCCACCTTTGCCTTTTGGCTAGGTGTTGCCAATTTGTGTGTAAGTCATGCGCCATATGTGCGGGAAACACTCGACGAGTCGAGTCGAGACCTAGAGACATTTATTATCAGTTGAGCATACAAGCTTTAAAATTTATTACATTTGTTAAGCATGGCCCCAAAATGGCAGCAAATAACTTCTTCCGACTACTTTTCCAAGAAATTTGCATAATTTACATTGTAAGTGTAAAGCATGTCGGCTTCGTCTCTGCCCCAGGTTCAGGTTGAATGTGAGGCTGTGTGAGAAATAACAAATACAAATTGAGTTTTATTTTGACTTTGCCTTTCGATCCACAACTCCTGCCTCAACTGAACGTTTACCTTTTTCTTTTGAATACCTTTTGTTTTGGGTCGGTCACAAGTCGTGAAAAGGATTTTCGTTTGTTTGCCTTTGAGTGACATAAAGTAAACAAGGACTTAGAATGCTTAAAGAGGACTTCGATTATTGAGCAAGCTAACACCTAATGATCGACAAGTGCGAAATGCAGTCGCGTGTTGAAAATAGTTTCGGTGAATGAGTTACTGAAGAAGCTCATTTAACACACCATAAGTCATGGCCAACTGGGTTACTCCTCATCATGCTGATACTCGAACTTCTTTTATTGTCTTTTTATAGTTGAAAAAGAATGTACAGTAGTATATTCTGCTTGGGGGTCAAGGTTAAAAAAGTCTGTTGTTTCGGTACAGTTTACACTTAAGTCTGATATTTTAAACAGTTGACTAGCCCAGACTTAAAGCTATGACAATCTCTTTGTGTCCATTTTTTCTGTGTGTCTTGAATGAGTGCAAGTTAGGTTGGTCTTTATTAAATGAAAGAGACAAGTCTTACGTCTTTGTTTTTATAATAATTTAATATTAGTATGCATTCGAATTATTTATTATAAATAAATAGAACATCAATCTCAGCAGTTGCAAACAACTTGTATAATTGATGCACATTGATGCACATGTTTAGTGATTGCACATGTGTTATGCGTTCTTCTTGCATTGAACAAAACAATCAATTACGCATCTTTATGCAATTAAATGCACATTCAAGTGTCACACAACATGGCGAATACATAATTTTCTTGCAAGCACTTGCGAGGCGCCATAAACATAAATCACTCATGCGTCATGTGGTGCAGCACCAAAAAAAAAAAAAAAACACACACAAAACACGAATCTGCTTGTCGGGCCATGGTCTAGATCCCACATTGCCGCTGCTGTTGCTGTGGCAACAATAAATAGCGCATAAAATGAAAGAGGGAAGCCGCAAAGAGGGCGACCACAGCATGAGATGGCGCTGCAGCCAGAGATGGAGGCAGCCCTCAAACGTCACGGGCAACAATGTTGCAAGCGGATAACGACAAAAGGTTCTTTCCACAGCAGCCAAAATGCCACCGAAATTTGCAAATGTCATTGCTGTTTGCTGCAGCAACCGTCGTTGTCATTTCTTGCATTAATGCAACGGCGCAAAATTTTAGCTTAACCAGCAGGGAATAAGAAGAGCTGCAGCAAGTCAAACTCTCTCCAAGACACGTCCCACAAAAAAAAAAAAAAGTACGCAAGACCGCTGAGCTGAAAGTCACGTCTATGCGCTTTGCCACGGATTTGTGCCGCACAAGTTGTCGCATAAATATATGAATTTGTAATGAGACAGGCCCAGAAAATCACCCCTCTGCCCAGGTATACGCAGCAGCAATAGCAGAAGCCACCAAGGCTGCACAAAGAAGCCCAAAAAAAACAAAAAAAAAAACAAAAAAAACAGAAAATACAAAAAACTTTCCTATTTTCCTTTTACTTGCAAATTATTAGTTAGACTTTTGACGCCACTTGGGTGCCCCCTTTAGATATGCTCCCTGTCGCCAGCCAAAAATTGAAAAACTTTTGTTTTATTTGCCGTACTGCAACAGTTGCAAAGTGCTTCTGTAAATTTGTTGCCAACTGCCCGCAGCCAGGGGAATGCGCTAACAATACCCAACAAGTTGGCAATGAATTTATAACTGACTTTCAATAAAAGCTATGGTCAGCTGTCTTGAGCACTCACCTGAAAGCTCGCTTAGACTGCAAGGCATATAAAATGTGCATCAAATTAACTGATCATAAAAAATGCGATTGATTATAGAAGACTGTTAAATTGCACGTATTCAAAATATACAAAGATTGGTTTCATGATATTTGGCTTTACTGCTTGCCTTAAAGTACGCCTTACTCAACTCTCAACCAAGTCTAATCATGGCCATTTTGGTGAGCTTAAGTGAATCCGCCAAGTGCCTGAAAACATTATTAGCATGCAATTTTATAAGCTGTTGCGCTCGGCGTAGGCGTCCGGAGCCCGCAATCAAAAGACTGAAATCTAATATCAAATGCTCGTTGCTGCAAAGCGAAAAGAAAACACAATGAAAATACGCGAAGCAACTCATCCAACTGCCCCTTCCATTTGACAGCCATCCAAATCGACGCGCCACGGTGCGTGGCAGCGTCTCTCAGCCACAATTGGGTTATGCGACAAATGGAAACGGGGGAGCCGGAGCCGGAGGCGCAGGCAATGTAACTGGCGGAGCAACAGGTGCGACAACGAGCTGCATAACTGCTGAAGGCGGCGGCAACGGTGGCGCAAACAGAATGAGCATTGCCACCATACAGGCACAAGACGGTGGCAGTGGCAATGTCAATGGCAATGGCAATCATCCACTGGAGCAAGTAACGACAATGACGACGACGACGGCGACGACAACGGCAACGAGGACGGGCCAAAGGGTGTCAGAGGGGCGACGCTACAAGCTGCGTCCCTTTAAGTTTGCCCTAAATCGTGTCGCCGCACCCACGCTCAACTTGAGGTGAGTACTGGCTGGCCATATAACTCAATTTCCAAGTGATTTCTTGCTCCAGATTTCTCAATAGTCGCGCCAAGCGCAACAGTCTCTCGGCGAATGCGGTCGCCACGGAGCAAAAGGCAACCAAGGTCCTGGGCCTGGTCTTCTTCACCTTCGTACTGTGCTGGTCTCCGTTCTTCATACTGAATATTATATTTGCCGCCTGTCCCGAGTGCCAGGTGTCCGAACATGTAGTCAACACATGCCTCTGGCTTGGCTACGTCTCATCGACGATCAATCCGATCATTTACACGATCTTCAATCGAACATTTCGAGCGGCCTTCATACGTCTCCTGAAGTGCAACTGCAAGCGGTAAGTGCCTTAGGCGGGGATCTGCTGAAAATGTGAAGCGAAACTACAAATTTTCATTTGCTTTGTCGGTTGTAATTTATTGTAGTGCACTTGAGAACTGCACTTAAAGCAAAGCCATTGCCCATTGTTCAGGCTATTGATGTGCAACGTGACGTATGATTGATTCTTTTCGATTTGTGTTTGCCAATGAAATCAAGGCGATTTATTACAGAAAGTCCGAATGTGTGAAAAATGCGCAAATTGATGCATGAACAGAGATTAGTAAAGTGCAATACGATAAGGCAACAAAAATGGGAAAAGTACACAGAAGCTCAAAAGCGAAGCCTTTGAAGTGTGATGCGACTTACGTAAAGAGTGAAAAATATTTATATAATATAAATACTAGCTGTTATTTGCCTGCTTTTCCCGATTCGAGTTTTATGCTTAAATTTTTCGACATCAATTTACCGCCGGTATAAAATTTAAATCTAACCGTGCTAGCATGGTCTTCGCTTAATTTATGCTTACATCAAACAAAGCTCCAGAAGTATCTAAGAAATTTGAGGCCAAAAATAAGATTTCACAAGATGCAACATTTAGCAAGTTATCATCACAGGAAGAAATGTCACGCTCAGGACACTTAATTTAATATAATTTGTTCATACGGTAGGTTAAGGGATGGAAGCCTTATAAATCTGTGAATTTCCTGGTTTATTGCCAGGTGAGTTTCGTGTTGCCCCAGACACTTGACATGCTTTGTGCCAAGTCTAGCAAACTCCTTATTAAATATAATATTTCCGAGTGTAGCGAATAGCCTTGCCAGAAAATGTTAGGTCGAATGTGAATTCTGCTTTTATGTCTCTGGCTATTAATACAAAAGTTTGTAAAAAGAGATTTTTATTGCACAGTTCTTGGTAGCATAGAAAATGTTTTTCTTGGAAAATGCTCTGCAAATATGATAACGCTATATAAAATAGAAGCAGCATAAATGCAATTGATTTCACTATAAAAAACATTCAACGATTTGGCCAACGCGCTTTTTATGTTCCATTTCGCAGAAAGATATTTCGTAATCCATATACATATATTAAGCTGCCTTGTTCCTGACTGACTGACTGAAAACGCTCGGACGAAAATTGTATTCCACGAAGGAACTTTAATTTTTTGGCTTTAAGCGTTGAACATGGGACGTGCGTTCGACATTGATGTATTAAATTTAAAGCAAAAAACTTGAACCAAAAAAGGCGGAGAAATATCAATAAAATAAAGGAGCAAATGTTTGAATCAACGATTTGCACCAATATCATTCTTGTGGTGAAAATGTTACCCCAAAAAAAAAACATGGACCCCCAATTTCACCAAGAAGGAGTACATTTGCCGAAAAATGTGACGCACCCTTTCATTAATATGAAAAAACATATCTTAAAATCAGTCTGAGACCAATGCGATACAAAAAAGTAACATACAAACTTTTTCCCTAAGTTTTCCATACTTGCTGTTGGGATTCCCTAATTTTCTTAGCATGCACCTCCATCACATAAGCTAACTACAGCAAAAATTTCAGCTCCCTAGCTCCAACAGTTTAAACGGATTAAACATTTTTTATAAAGAGATTATATGTACATTAACATCAACACAAAATTAAGTCTGCTCCAATTAACGAAGACTATAATTTACTCTTTTCATGCAAGCACTCTTCCTAAACGGACTCTTCTCCTTTCAAAGTAACATAAATTGCAAAGCTTGAACAATGTTTAAACTTTCAGAGACAAGAAATATTTCCACCAGTTAAAGTTACAATCGATTACCTAACTTTTAAAAAACCAAAGTGCTTTAATAGTATTTTCGATTGGGGGATACCCTGTACCTTCTTCTACAAACAGAAAATAAAGTCCGCGTTACGCGCTAGTTGCTTGTTTATTTAAGGTATATATTATACTAAAGTAAAAAGATATGCTATCAATAATGAAAAAAAAAATGAAAACTGGCCCCAGTCGGTGTCGAGTTCTCAACTACCTTCAACCGACCGAAAAACTGTTGTACTGGTGTCGGGAGCTATAAGATGAAAGATACTTGTATATACTATCTGTATATACTATTCTAGAATTTACATGTCAACTTTGGTAACCATAGCACCAAAAACTGAGATCGAAACTATACGTATTAAGTCTCTAGCTTCTATAGGTTCTGAGCTTAACGCATGCGTACATGGAGAGCGACAAGTGTAAGTGTTGAACCAATTATAGATTCTGACCAAGAATAAATAAAGTTTATGGTGTCGTAGATGCTTTCTTCTGCCGGTTACATACATTTGCAGAAAACTATAATACCCCTCTTGGCCGCTTTCAATGGGTTCAGGGTATAAAAAAACGACGTTTTAAAGAAAATATGCACCTATCCAAAACAATTTTCATGAACCGACGCCCTTGTATGCCGGCAAAATAAATTTTCCTTAGACTTTGTAAGTGTGGACATGAACTTGGCGAATAATAAAATATTAACTTCTCCTCACATTGACAATTTCATTGCAGTTCGGGCCGCCCGTTACGCTATCGCTCCGTAACCGAAGGACGCAGCGCCCTGAGCTTGTGCGCCCCCTCGGCACTGCCGATGGCCATCTCATTTCAGGGGGCTCCACTAATGACGCCATCCACGGCTAATGCGACGCCGCTCAGCGAGTTCCGGGGCAGTTATAGCATCAACGATGACGAGTGATGAGCGGAACGGAACAAGTCGGGCAAATACGAATTTATGGGCTATGTTGGTAAGAAAGTGCAAGTAATCGAGTAGACGGATGTGGAATTGATAGCCAGATGAAATTATTGAGCAAACTTCAAACTGTACTTTAAGCATGTAATCAAATGTAAACTACAGGGTGATTTATTCGAAATCAAACCAATGGCGTATAAATAATCGCTGACTTCTTACAATTGTAGCAACTGTACCTAGAAAAAGAAACGCTAAACTTCTTAGTTAACTTCATCATATCATCAGACAGCAGGAAAGTGGAATATATTGTGTGTGTTAGCAATGCGTGACTGTACCTGTCATATTTCATGCAATCACATTATAGCTTTTAGTCAACTGTACTTACTAACTTAGCATTTCAGAAACATCTAATTACAGATTACATATACATATATATATATATATATATATTTTGAAAACTATTTAAAACTAGCATTAATGTCTGTAAGTGTTTGTTATTAACCGTAGCTGTGCTTATTAGTCACTTGAATTAGTTATGTGTTAAACCTAATTGTAATTTAAAGAATTTTAAACTAAATGTGAAATTTACTTTTACTGATAAGAATTTCCAAACTGTCTTGACACCGCAATGTCGAGTATTCCAAAGTCACGGCAGCCAATTTCTAATTTTATTTTATGTGTGTAGCAGCTAGCCTCTAAGAATAACTGTATTGTCATGTGTCAAAATATGATAAGAGATATGGTAAATATATATAAATAAAGTGCATACCTTTCAAGGCAGCGTCCTTCTTTCTAAAATTTTAAAAAGACATTTTATTTAAATTACTTACATCTAACGAAGTGAGTGGAAAAACTTGTCAAAAAAATGGTGGGGATGCTTTCATTTTCTTGGCGTGAAATTTGTACAAGAATTTCTAATCTAATATAAACGCTCCGGCGCTGACAAGAACTGTACTCTGCCTATGAAAAAAAGTTATCTAAAAAAATAAAGTGCAGCTGGAAAATGTTTGGCTTTTTGAACAAAGTTGAAAGTTTAATTTATGTGTTGTAATAAGTATATTTCAAAAATATTCCAAATATAAAATACGTACTGCAAACATATATAGTATGTATATATGGCAATCAGATGTGTTGTTTACTTTTACCGGAACCCGCTTACAATTGAGAGTGACAATGATTGTGGCAGAGCCACACCATATGTCACGCTTTAGGCACATATAATCAAGATCTTTGAGCATTAGGCAGACTCTGTGTCAGTCACTCTCGCACCCATAAACCGCATGCAACTGCTGTCTGTGCCGTTTACTTTGCAGCCCGACAGCAAACTGTTTCCGACAGCCGATGGCATTGCAGCCCACATGCACATTTGGCGACTTCCTTGCTGTTCCGTCAATGCGTGCAGGGTAAGTAATCGGAGCAGGAGCGGGTCGTGCGTGCAATGCGCGTGGAGGTAATGAAAATTGCATTATTGCCCTGAGCTTAATGCAATTTAAATGCTTTTATGATCAGAGCACCAAAAGTTTTTCTTATTCTACATTAAGTGCAAAATATAATGCACCGAAAATTGGACAGATCGACAGCGCAGCAGCTGCGAGACGAACACACTCAGTAAGCACTTCGAGTTGTCGAGTCCTGCAGTAATGAAAATGAAAAAATTGTGTTGCATATCTCGTGGGGCGTGCCGAAGGCGCTGAGCTGTTGACTAAGCGCTAAAGCGACGACGGCCGCAAAGTGCACGACAAAATGGCGTCGCCAGGCGACGAAAACAACAACAACAAAGTTGTTGCCGACAATTATATTGCTTGGGCAGCAGCAGACAAAAAGAATGTGCAAGTGCGAACGGGCCAGAGTAAGATGAAGGCAAGTATGTATGTAAGTAGAGAAAATGTGTGGAAGCGTGAAATTGATTGCCCCGCTGGCATTCGCTCAGACCTCATCCTTAAACTGCTTGCAGTTTATTTGCTTTGGCTTTGGCTCCGGCTAATGGCTGCCCTGGGAATACGATTTTTAATTTGCAGACACCTTCAAGTCGCCAACGGAAGTGAATCTTTAACATATCAACAGCCAAGCATTTGCATCTGCAGACAATGGTGCGAAATAAAAACACATCCGCAAATAAAAGGGGAAACAAGCGCTCATCGCTGAATTGTTCACATTTGCACATTTTCATAAGAAAAGCTCATTACCTGCCGGATTTGGCTTATTTATTATGTGACACACACCCGCAAAACACACACAGTCACACACACACAGTCATGCAGGGAATTGGCATTCAACACTTTGACGCTTCATTAGCTTTGAGTCTGGCGGGTTGATGTGGGCCAAGCGTGAATAAAATACAAATGCGATTTGTGAAGGCATTTTCCTCACATACGATTTGCCATTTATTTTCAAATTGATTTCATCACGATTGCTATTTTTGTATATTTTTGCAATTGGGACTGCCAAAACACTCTAGAATAAGCATTTATATAATATAAAAGTTGAAAAATGTAGCATTCAAAAACATATTATTAAAAATAGTTTTTCTTTCATCACTTTGAAAAAAGACTTTTATCTTCATAATACAACTGAATTTATAATATATTTAATATTATATAATTAATATGGAATCGTCTCGTGCACTTGAAATAACCATGTTCAAAATTTCCAATCCTTAATCCTTAATCTTAGATCAACTCGGCTATTCATCCTTATCCAGAAATAAATAATCTTTGGAATCGGTTAAGCCTCCTATTCCTGACACATCCATTTGAAACAACCATGATACCCGCTTGACCTCTTTTCTAAGGGTTCATTGCACTAACACGTAAAAACATAATTGCACTTTCAAATGGAAATTTTAGATAAATAAATATATTTGCCTATATTTGCCTGACTAAAGTAACAATGAATTACATAAAAACAATAATGAAAATGCAAATAAATATTGTAATAATAATATAAAATATTCATAATAAACAATTTGAATAATAATGAAACAAATGACAACAATACACTTTGTTAGCTGCGGATGACTTTCTGGCTTATCCAAAATTGAAAATAAAAACAATGTTATATCTGTATTTGTGTGCATGTGTGTTTGTGTGCACACTAATGCGATGTGACTGCTAGTTGAGCATCAGCCTGCAATTATTGTTCATTTTGTTACTGCTGTTGTATTGTTTTTGCACCCACTGTGTTTTTGTTTGCTTACACCATACACCACGCGTGTCCCTTAGCTGAGAAGTCGACGCAGCCATGCATGTAATGGATAAAAGCATCTGTCGGAAGCGCTATATTAGCACTCGTCCTTTGTTTCAGTAATTAGCCACGGGTTGCTACTAACAATTGATATTTTATTCTCAAATAAGTACATCTTCCTTAAGGCCACGCGTAGATTAAGGCCGCAGGTTCTTGACTGCCGCTGCAGCATTTGGCCTATAATCCGCAAACGCAAAATGGACCTAAACCTGGGCCTTTTTCACCTGCTAACCGACAGGCCACCGCGTTTTAGGCAGCCCCCTTTGTTCACAATCCACTTTTGGTGGCAGATTAGTCAAATTGGTTTCTCGGCTGCCTTTTCACTGCGTTTTTAAC